TTCATAGTTTTAGGGGGAGTTTTCATGTTTGGTTTCAAACAAAGAGTTTCATATTTTTCTGTTTTAGGGGTAGTTTTTGGATTACCTGATCTTTTTCATGTATGTGTAACTGTAGGTGCTACTTGCATTATATATGATACATGTCATATGATTATCTTGAACTGTATATATATCTCATTATATATTTTTACTTTCCAGATTTTAAATTTTGAGTTTTACTATTATCAAAATGGAGAGATTGTTAGAACTTTGTTCAGGTATAATGTTGTATGTTAAATATCTATTTTTTGATAAATAACTGATTCTCGTTTGGTACTAATTAGTTTGTACGGTGATATATTTCAAGAAGAAACAGATACGAATAAGGTATGACCCGAAACGATGCAAAATTAACACGATAGTTGATATCAGCCTATTAGATCTCGAGGCACAATCGGTGGTCAAAAAAGTCATTGATGGGCTGTAATCAACAATATATATTTTCTATAAACAAGAAATTGATCTATTGATGGACTGCTGTCAACTATGCTCGCTTTAATCATCGATGGATTAAGGTCAACAATTTATAAATTTTAGAAATCAGAAATTAAATAATCGATGGACTATAGGGAACTATTGATGATCATCAACAACCAATCGATGGTCAAGTTTATCCATCAACGATTTGAACGTGTTTTGATAGGTTTTAGGATTCTATCTCAGTCGTTTATTGACAGATTTGATCTCCTATTAGAACTCTGACTAGAGAAACTCTTTCCAATTCAATAATAAGAGGGATTGATGATGAGATTAACAACAATAAGAACGAGAAAAAGTGAGGCTATTTGCATAAGATTGAGAGATCAAATTCTAGGGTTTGAGAGAGTTTGAGTTTGAGAATTTGATTCTCTGAGCCTCATTCAATATTTTCTCATCGCGCTCAATATTGAAAAACTGTCTTAATAAGGAGGAGTGCCCTTTTGTGTTCAACATCAACATCTCTTCTTCATGAATCATTATCAACATTGATTTGAAGAATAATTTATTTTAAAATGATTGTAAGATCTTTTCAATTATGCTTTAATTATTTTTAGGGTTAGTTTTATATTTCAAACTTGCAAGTTTGATGGCTACTTAAGTCGAGGTAATTTAGGTTTGACGTGCTTAAGCAAGGATAATTGAATGTGGCTAGGTAGCGCTAGTTTTCTTCTGATCATTGTGAGGAGTTAGACATCTCGACTAGTTTGGGGTAGATTTTATGGTCTTGTTTATAAAAATCTATTGAATCGGGTTGTGATTCAGTGATAACTCCGGTCATTGTAAGAAGGCCCTTCACGAGAAGGAAGAGTGAACATAGGATTTTGATCTGGACTAATATAAGAACCTCGTATGTTACTGTGTTGGTTGGTTTCAGTTTTTCCTATGTTTTATTTTCGCTGTATATTCTAGGTTTATCCAAAAAATTATAGCAACCCTATTCAACCCCCAAACTTGTATCCCATTTCCAATAGGCATAATGAGCAGGGAACTTGCATGCTGAGGGCTTAGAGGTAGCTGATGCCTACTTCGACCTGATCCTTGTGATTCTCAATATTGTAATATTGAAATAGTATATTGAGGGGATTAGGCCATCTCCAACGCATCGCACCAAAATGGTGCAAATTTTGTACCAAAATGGTGCAAAAGCCACATCAAACAGTAATTCATCTCTAACCCACTGCACCATTTTTTACACAAAAAAAGAATATTCTTAGTATATTCATTTTTATCTTCTTTTATATTATTATTTTTTATTCCTTATATTTTTAACTATTTCAACAATTAACCCCACATATCAAATTTTATTTTTTTCACATATTTTTTCAAAAAAATGATTTATTATTTAAAAAATTAAACAAATAAAACAATAAAATATTATTTTATTAATTAAAATAACTTGATTAATAAAATATTATATTTTTATTATTTATATTGCTAAAATATTATATTTAAGAACACAACAGAAAATAAAATACAAGAAAATAATTAAACATTAATAATAATGTAAAAATTACAAATTCAATGTGCACTTAACTATCTGAATTAGTGTATTCCTCCCATAGATGATCTATCAATGCATTACGAAGCGTAATATGGGCATCTTTATCCTTGATTTGTCTGTAACGTGCAATAAATTAGTTAAATCTTGTAGTTTCATCTACTACAATATCAACTTCTGGTGTTGGTGCTTCCCTCACTTCTTGAATTGGTGTATAAAAATCACGTTCATCCTTGATTATCATATTATGTATAATAATGCATGCAATCATTATGTCATGTAACACATGTTTTTTCCAAAAATGTGCTGATCCTGCGACAATTGCAAATCATGATTGGAGAACTCCGAACGCACGTTCTACATCTTTTCTACATGCTTTCTGTTTCATGGCAAAATATTTTTTTCTTCCTACCTTGTGGCTATTGGATTGTTTGTATAATAGTAGCCCATTTTGGATATATACCATCAGCTAAATAATAACTCTTTTCCTTGAATAACATAATGAGCGTGAGGAGCAATACCTTGAGCTAGATTAGAGAAAAGATTAGATGACTCCAGCACATTCATATCATTATTGGTACCTGGTATACCAAAATATGCGTGCCATATTCAAAGATCATAATCTACTACAGTTTCAAGGATAATAGTTGGTGACCCACTATGTCCCGCGTATTGCCCAGACCATGCCGTTAGATAAATTTTCCATTTCCAATGCATACAATCAAGACTTCCTAACATTCTTGGAAAACCATATTTTTTACCAATATAGAGTAGCCTAGCAATATCATTAGCATTAGGTGTTCGTAGATACCTCTCTGCGAATATCTCCACCATAGCATGACAAAATTTTGTCATACTTTCAATTGCTGTTGACTCACTTATATTAACGTATTTGTCCGTAGCATCAACTGGTAGATCGTATGCCAACATACGAAAAACAACTGTTACTTTCTGGAACTGTGATAATCCCATTCTACCAAGTTCATCACTTTGTTGTTGGAAGTAATAGTCATGATCTTTCACTGCATCAACAATACAAAGGAACAAACTTCGAGACATCTGATATCGACGATGAAACATATCTTCACCAAAACATGGATTATCGGCAAAGTAATCTATGGTGAAATTCTGATGCGCAGTTTCTCGATCGCGGTTGATCACTGCATGACTGGGAATCGAGCCACCATGGATCGGTTGGTAGTTTTGTTGACGTAAATTGTTAGCGAGGATTATATTTTTGTTAATGTACTCACGAATTACTTCTTCAGTTTCATCAATCTCTGCAATGATATTTTTCAAAAAATTATCATCATCCGAAGATGAAGATGATGATAAATATGATGGACCTCCAGCATCAAAATTCATTTTTAAAGTAAGAAAAGAATGACTGAAGTATGCAGAAATGGAGAATAATAATTTTAACACAACAACGAATAATTGTGTGGAGGAATAATTTTAACACAACAACGAATAATTGTGTGGAGGAACCTAATCTAGTATGCTATTTATAAAACTTTGGTTAGCTGTATACGTTGAATAATGTGTAAAGCTGAGCTGAGTTTAGGAAATGATTTCCAACTGTTATCAATTTGTCACAAAATTCAATGAATGCTTAGCTATATACATCAGACAATGTGTAAAGCTGAGCTGATTTCAGAAATTGATTCCCACTCATATAAAGTTTTCACACAATTTAATGAATGCTTAGTTGGATACGTTGGACAATGTGTAAAGCTGAGCTGATTTCAGAAAATGATTCCCATTCATATAAAGTTTTCACATAATTCAATGAATGCTTAGCTGTATACGTTGGACAATGTGTAAAGCTGAGCTGATTTTAGAAAATAATTATAGGCGTCAAAAATTGCCTATAGATCATCACACACAACTAAAGATGGAGAAAAAGCGATACATTATCATCTGAGTTACAGAGGATCGTCCAAAACTAAATATCAACTAAGGAATGTATCAAAAGTGCATCACACGAGTTTCGAGGCACAAAACTTGCATTGAAGGCATAAAAGGGATTCATAGTTTCTGAGACAGTCCTAACTGTCTCAGAAACTATAAAGAGGACAATAGCTTCTAAGACACATACAACTATCTCGGAAGCATGAAGAGAGTCCACCACTTCTGAGACACTCCTAACTGTCTCGGAAGCATGAAGAGAGTCCAACACTTCCGAGACAATCCTAACTGTCTCAGAAGTTAAGGAGAGAAGAATGGCAGTTTTCTCGAGATTTGTGCATGCCACGCGGCTTCATAACTACCAAAGATCGTGTTCGAATGTGGGGAAGACGTTACAAGCGGAAATCACATCAATAACTGCCCAATAAGGGAATTAAAACTTGTTTAAAGTAGTTACAAAACGGCTGAGGAGAGTCACATTTTCAAGACAGTTGTAACTGTCTCGGAAATGGAAAGCAACCTATGCTTCCGAGATAGTTACAACTGTCTTGGAAATAGGAGTTCCCCGAGATGATTTATTTTCAACTTTTGATGGAAGTTATTATTTCTAAAGGCTATAAATACCCCCTAGGACCATTACTAACGAGGATCCAAGCAAATAGAGCAGATTAAGCAGAGAGACATGAGCAATTTGGTAAATTCCAAGCAAGAAAGAGAGAGTCTTTATCATGTGCAAGTCTTTTTCAGAGTTCTTGTGATTTCTTAAGATCTCAGCTTTAACTTGATCTTAAGAAGAGTATTAATCTTACTTCGATAAGATATTCACTTCCTTTTCTTACTTCTAAATGAAGCAAGAATTCCCAAATAGCCTTCACGGTTCAATCTAAATATGTGATTCGGTGGTCCACGGGCTAACGCACCCCCAGCACAGGCAAAGATCCCACATAAGCAGTGATCCAAAACGATCATGCGTGTGTTTTTAAGGAGCATCTGTAATTTTATTTTGTTGTAAAGCATAGTTTTATAAAGTACGAAACTCACTCTTCTGTATTCATTATAATCGATAAATAATTATAATGAATTCTACAACAAAACTTGTTCCTGACGCAAACACGCTGGCGACCACAGTGGGAGCCAATGATCTTGCTACCGAGATCGTCGTGTCACAGCCGATCAAGATACTAGTTGAATCCATGGTCGAGGATGAGTTCAACCAAACTAAGTTTGAGGAATATCTATTCTCATCCTCTTCAAGATCTTCCTTATCCCGCAAGTGCAGGAGGATCTCACCATTGAAGAAGGCTAACACGCCAAAGAAGGTCCAAGATGAAGACTCTCATCCAATCATTGCCGAGGCCTCCCCTCGCAACATTTTCCCCGCGACCCCTAAAACCAGAAACCCTGCTCACGACGATTCCTCCCTAATTAAGGAATCCTTTGATCGAAGTTTGCCAACTCTGACGAAGAGGTCTCGTCAGAGACAAGCTAACATCTTGCTTGTCAGCTCGCTAAGGCCTTAGAACAGGTCGATAGGATTCAATACTACATGAACTTAGAGTCTAGGATTCATCATGCAACTAAATCACGTCAACATCAAGTTTCTGACATGTCCTCCAAGTCATTAACCGAAGAGTGAGTTCTCATCAAGAGGACTCGTTCGACGAGGGAAGAACGCATCAAAAAACATCATGCAGGTGTCACACAAGCTTACGCTCTTAGAAAGAAGGAAACAGTGCCCAAAGAATCACCAAGAACATGCAAAGTTTGGACCCCAAAGTTCGTACTTGTGTGAAAATCAAATTTGGTGGCAACAGGGAGTGTCCCCTTTAGCCGAGACACATGCCAGTGTCTCGGCCAAAGTACACTTGTCCGAGATATACTAGCCAGTGTCTCGGACAAAGCAGCCATGTCCGAGACACTGACCAGTGTCTCGGCCAAAGGAAAATTCCCGAGGCTATTCCCTAAACTTCGTCAACGTCTGTTTCTCATTCGTCTACTGTAATTACATCTGATACATCATCAGTCAAGCCTTGCATTACTCCTGACCTACCAAACTTCAAAATCACAATGGTGGATCGCCTTGGTCCTTTGCATGAAGATCGAGGAAAAGCTCTAGTCAAGAAATGCTTGGATTTGGTGAACAAAATCCAAATGACTCGTCAGGTTATGGGTTGTACGCGTCCTCCCACCAACCCAAAGCAATCCTAAGTTGGGAAAATCCTGATTTCCACCCGCTTAGAGGTTCATATCGAAACTCAGAAGGCCGTTAAGACTCAACACCCACAAAAGGGTGGTTCTAAACATACGACTCCTGAGAATGTTGACAAGACTTTACATTTTCAGAAGAAGACGTTTCCACCAAAAGACAGCGTTATACCTGGGAGGTCACACCAACAGACGATAGGGTGCTCCGACAATCATACCGATGAGTTGTACTATCAAACTGGGGGTGTAAACAAATCTCAAAAGAGGATTGTCTGAGAAATAAGCTCTCATTGTTCCTATCAGTAATTCATTAGAGCAGTACTATCGAAATGTGACTACTCTAAGCAAGAAGTTATCCCGCAAAGAGTCTTAGTGTTCCAAAAGCTTTTTATTGAAATGTTGAAGCCCAAGCCGGACATTTCCGCAAGAGAAGATCAGTTGTCCAAGATGACGAATTCCCTGAAATCACCATCAACATGGCTAATAAAGAAAAATCTAAGCGGTATTCAAGTGAATCAAATCCCGACTTTTCCCTGGGAGTAAAAGTCAATCCAAGAATTGCTCAACGGATGTCTCAACTCTAGTTAGGAACTATCAGACGTAGAGATTACAAGAGAATGCATGAAGGAATGTCCTCGGAGGATGAACTTTTGGACACTTGTTCTGCGATTGCTTCTGATGATACAATGTCTAGCACGGGGCAAACCAAAGAAGTGTTCACAATCACTCCTGATCTGTTTGCTCAAATGCTTCAAGAAGCTCTAGCCAAGCAACATGAAGAAATTAGAGCTAAGATGAAGACGGAAATGGAGTTGGCTATCCAACAAATAAGAGAATTGCAAGCTCAATGACATCAACCTCCTGAGTCTATTCAGCGAGCTAAATCTAGCCATCACACTCAGAATGTTGTAGATGACAGTGATCTAGAAGTGGATGAAGTTATTATGGCTGACACACCTCCTAATAACAATAACACTAGGGGTGGTTCAACGGATCCTCTCAACAATAATATTAGGCGTGGTTCAATTGCACCACTCAAAAACACCGGGGGTGACCCAATTGCTTCTGCTCAACATCACTCGAAGAGAGATGAAGGTGATGACGAGATGATGAAAGAGCTAGAGAAAAAGGTAAATGCATTGATGTCCACTCAGGAAGTAAAGAAGATGGGTATTCCATGTCCCTATCCAAGAGAATGAGATTCAATTCCGTATCTGGCAAAATTCAATCTGATTAACTTCACACGGTTTGAGGGGAAGAGATTGCCTAATTAGCACTTGATTTATTTTAAGTCTCATTTAGGCATGATCTCTAGAAACGAGGCTTTGATGGTCCGGTCATTTGTTGGCACCCTTCGTAGGGCCGCCTTCGATTGGTATCGACGTCTCAAGCCTGAGAGGTCAACTGCTAGGATGACATGAAAAGTTTGTTCCTCAGCAATTTCTTTGATGATAACACCGAAGTGTCAATCGGAACCCTTCTGGATGAGAAGCAAAAAGATGGAGAGTTAGTCGACAATTTTGTTAAGCATTTTCATAACAAGGTAATGAATTACAGAGATGCTATCATAGAGGAGTTCATCCTGCAGACATACCACAACAATCTCTCCATTAATGTCCTGGAAGCCCTGGGGGTCGTACCTTCAGTCACTTGGAAAGAGTTAAAACTACGCGACGAACAAGCTGAACGCTTTTTTTAAAAGAAAGAAAGATAAGAGAATCCAACCGATGATACCTGTAATCGTTGTGAACACCAATCAAACATCACAACAGCAACCCGGGAGGCAACAGAAGACTCCTGATCTGAATCCCCCAAAAGAGTATTCTTTCGAAGATAATGAAGTTCCAGCCATCTTAAAATACCTCCTCGCCAACGACAAAATCAAGCTACCACCTATTAAAGACAAGGAGAGAGCTAAGAGGATTATGAATCCAAACTACTGTGCACCACAGAAGGGTTCTTCATCCCACCAAGGTTTGCTTTGGTCTCAAAAACAAAATCCAAATCTTAATTGACTCCGGTGTCATAATGGCAAAACAAGCCAAATAAGGACGCCATATGACTCCAAAAAGTATAAGAGTATAAACTACTTCTCACTTTCCTCTGACGGGTATATGAGGTTAAACTACTTTCCTTATTTCCAACAACGGGAAGTTCTTAGAGAATA